TTTATAAACCTCGAAAAAAAACCCCGACTGGGTTTTTCCACTTTATTTTCAAAGCTTCTGGGTGTTAAAAGTAATTATTATATAAATAAGGGGTAATCAAGTAAATTAATTTACATTTCATAGACTTATTACATTTTGAGAAAAGTATTAAAATTCGATTTCGCTCTTGGATCGTGACCATGGCGACTCCTGGATCGATCCAGAAGGAAGATGATGAGTGGCGTGCGGTTCTTTCTCCGGAACAGTTTAGGGTTCTCCGGCAAAAAGGCACTGAGTAAGTTCTTCTTCTTCTCCTTTCTCCGACGATGCATCGTTCGATTTCTGGGAAAATTTTTGATTGTTGAGGAAATTTGGGAACAATTTTCATTCTCCAGGATTAGAGCTCCCTTATATCAATATGGTTATAGAAATCTAGTGTTTTAATTCATAATTCATATAATTTGTGATTCCATGATTGGTGTGAGTGAAACGAGTTTCAAGCAACGATGCACTAAATTAAGATTATATGCAATTACATGTGCTTGAATCATAAGTAACAGAGAAAAATTTCTGCTATAGATGTAAAAAAACTTCCATGAAAGATGAAATTCTTCAAGATGATAGCATTTTGATAACAGATTCTGATGAGGACATTGTTGCTTCAAAGGATAGCATTGAGTCTTGTTTTTACGTAGAATGCGTACGATGAAAGATGTCGACTTTAGAACTTTGTTGCTCGGTATGGTTAATATTCTCAGTTCCTGAGGATGGATTGCGCCGTATGGCCAGGAAAATGTCTCTTTTGTCTATTAAATAAGAGACTTTGGCTCTAACGCTATAGTATAAGAGAGTTAAAAGTCTTCTTTTTTTTTTTTTCATTAGTGGTTGAGGAACTGATGGGTATGTACATATATAATCCTCATGTTCTTTGCTGGTTTGTGTTTTTGTTAATTTTCAGATATCCAGGAACAGGAGAATATGTGGATTTCGACAAAGAAGGAATTTACGTCTGTGTAGGATGCAAAACTCCGCTTTATAAATCCACCACAAAGTTCAACGCAGGATGTGGCTGGCCAGCGTTCTTTGATGGAATCCCCGGCGCTATAACCAGAACCGTAAAAAGACACGAGCTTTCCATGAAATTGATAAACAAAAATAAACTCTTGTCATTGTTTTTGCTTCATATTTATCTATTTACATTGTTTTAACAGACGGATCCAGATGGGAGAAGAACAGAGATCAACTGTGCAGCATGTGGTGGACATCTTGGTCATGTTTTCAAAGGAGAAGGTTTCGGTACTCCAACCGATGAACGCCATTGCGTGAACAGCGTTTCGCTCAAGTTCACACCCGCAAATCCTTCCTTGTAAAGTTGTAGCAGACAGATTATTGTTCTCTCTCTGGTTTTTCACTCAAAGTGAAATGGGAGAAAAGACAGAATAAAAGATTCATGTAAGTGTGTGGTGGTTTGATGTTATTACATTGTGAAAATTGTACTGGGATGGATTTGGTTCAAGTCACCAATCCGGAACAGGTTTACGTTGTAATTCGGATCCAGAATCCAAAAACTAAAAAAAAAATCCAAATCTGATTCAATTAAACATACTCCTGCACAAGTCTAATAGAGATTAGCGAATCTAGACGCAAAACTAAGAACCATACATGACCCAAAACTAGCTATAAAATCAGAGTCCTTTCTCTCGGATTACTTTTAATGGCGCCTTCTGGATTGTTGGTTGAGAAAACAGAGGAAGAGTGGAGGACGATTCTTTCTCCTGAGCAGTTTAGGATTCTCCGTCAAAAAGGCACTGAGTAAGTTTTTTCACCCCTTATTCAGCTATACTATGGTTCAAATTTCTAGAAAGTTTTGATGAAATTTTGGGATAATTTGAACACTTGGACTCTGTTTTGGATTAGGCATTAGACGACTTCACAAATTTGGGGTTTGAGGTCTTATAACTCTGTGATCTCGAGTTAGAAAATTACTTCAATTTCGGTTTGAGGAAGTATCATCTCAATTTTCTTGCGGTTTTCTTTTTTATGTCAATATTTTATAGAAAGCCACGAACCGGAGAATATGATAAGTTCTTTGAGGAAGGAGTTTTTTCAGCTGCGTAGGATGCAAAACTCCTCTTTATAAATCCACCACAAAGTTCGACGCCGGATGCGGTTGGCCAGCTTTCTTCGAAGGAGTTCCCGGTGCCATAAACCGAATAGTAAAGACTATCTTTTGTTATGTTTTGGTTTAGGTTTCATGAGTATTGGTTGCTTCATTTGATTCTATATATCAGCCTGATCCAGATGGGAGAAGAACCGAGATCACTTGTGCAGCGTGCGATGGGCATTGAGGCCATGTTTACAAAGGAGAAGGATTCGGTACACCAACCGATGAACGCCATTGTGTTAACAGCGTGTCGATCAATTCAACCCGGCAAAACCTTGATCATAGAATATGTTATCAGATTGTGTAGTGTCTAAG